TCTGCTGGCTAAGCATTAGTTCATTTATGGTGTTAAAAATGCTACCTTTTATACATCAGATATTTTACTTGTTCAGTTATGAAATGCACAGATACTGCAGCTGAAAGGAAAAAAAGATAACCAGCATACAAAGTAAAATATTAATACTGCTACTCCTGGGGATTAAAATTTACTCTTTTTATGTGTGTAGGTTCAAATTGATACCTAAAAAAATGCAATTATCTATTCGTGCCTATATTTATATTTTATAAATATTTATGTTTAAATATATTTTTATATAATTTTATATATTACATTTTGTTCTTTTTAATGTCTCCTATATTTGTATATGGTATTTGGCTCAACATAACTATGAAATTGCAACAGTCGTTCAATGTCCTGTAGGCACATGAAACAGCTATGAAAGAAAAGGCAGAAAGATAAAAAAAATCATAAATGAGAAAGAGCAATTTCTTGCTAGAGCAGAAAACTGCGAGTCACCAGATAAAAATTTTCCAATTCTTTCAGAGACTGACTGTATTAGCACGAATTATAAACTAGTCCTCCTATGACTTTTCTTAACTGTAAACCAGTTAATACTTGTCTCTGACCTCAGAGATGCTTCATTTGTTAATATTTGTAGGCATTCCTGTCTGTGTAGATGGGGCAACCTCTGGATTTTATGATAACAAAGCCCTGAAGTAACTTTCTACAGACAACATTTCTCATCCAAATATTGCAATACAATATTTCTCAATACAAATATTTCTCAACAAAATCCTAGATTAGAAATCTCAAACATAGACCAATTTTTTTTTTCCTAGCTGGTTAAAGCTTACTTGAGGTGAAGCCTGTTGAACGCCAGAGTAATGTCACTGAAAGCATTACTACTCCATGGGATGTTGGAAAGGATTTGTGCTGAATTGGAAGTTGGGTGTGACAAACATTCCCTGTCCCCAGCACTGCTACCCTGCTCTGTCCCCTGCACCATCACGCAGTTCCTGCCTCCTGCAAACCAACCCAAATCTGCAGGCAATGTGGTTTCCTGGGACAGAAGCCCAGGGAAACCCTTCTGGCAGATGGCCTGTGCAAGCTTCAGCCTCTGTGTCCTCTTTCTCTGTTTATTCTTGAAGTTTGAAATGTTTGCACATTTTATGGAATCTCCAACAAAATGAGCAAGCCAAACCTCAGAATGAGTCATGTCTTGAGAAGCAAGATGCACCAATGGAAAGCAAATTGCATAAATACCATTTGTAATGTGTCCAGACTGCATTCTCTGCTCAGGTGCAACTGAATTTTAAAAGGTAGGGTTTTTTTTTTTCAACACAAAGCTCACACAGAAGAGTTTTATCAGCTCATCAGCATCAGATGATTGCTCCCTCAACTTTTTCTATGGATCTATGCTAACTTCTTGTAAGCATTTAAATGTGTTAATCTTAGATTATATGTGAACCAGTAATTTATATTGTTAAATTATGAAGGCTTCAAATACACTTCTGAGTTTGGAAAAGCTTTTGTAGATGAAATGACTCTTGCTCAGTTCTTTAAGTTCTGCTTTTGATGAAAAGTGAAACTGCAGTAGCACAAGAAAGCAAATGCCGTCCAAAATATTAGAGCATTTTATGGGAAAAGAAAAGAGAAGCTGATTTATGATGTCGCTTCTGTTAATTCCTGCAATTCTTAATAGCCAATCCTACCTTTCAGTTGCATATTTTTTCATTAAATATTTGTGAGCTCGTTAGCTGCAGCTGATATCAATAGAACACCAGTAAAAATCCTTTCCTAACTGGATGATTAAAAGTAATATAAACAGTAAAACAAGCAAAGAGTTATACATAAAACAAACTAGGAAATTAAAGAAAAGTCAAGATATCACTATGCAGGAAAATATAAAAACAAGGTAGCAATTTTATTTACAGGAATTTTGCTCCATTATATGAAGTGCAAAGTCACTCTCAAGTTTTCATATCACAGTTAAATAATCCACCTTCAGAACACCAAAAACCTGCACCACATACAACACAGTTGCTATGGCAATTCTTCATTTACAATGAACAAAATAAGTGAACAACTAACACAGCCTTGTGTTAAGCAAACACATACCTGCAGGCTTGGTAATTGGGGCTAGCATATAGTATATACATATATAAAAAACATAGAGTGTGTGAATATATATAAAACAAGTTTTGTGTGTGTATATATGTAGAAACACATAGTGTGTGTGTGTTTATATGTAAAAAAACAGTGTGTGTATATATGTAAAAAAAATATATAGTGTGTGTGTATCTAACATATAGGATATATATATGTATACATAAAACATAACATATCAGTCCCCCAAAACCGGAGCCTGGAATTTCTGAAGTCTTCAGCTACAGGTACTCTTACCTCTGCTCCCAGATACTGTTAAAGGCTTGTAAATCATTCCTAATAACCTTCTCCAGCTGTGATACCACACAGTATTTTCCAGAATTAACTCAAGCACTAAGATTTGTCTTTCCAGATTAAAACTTTGTCCTCTTGTGTCCCTGCAGCCCAGTTTCTGCTCTATCCAAGGCAAGCTAAAACCCAGCGCACGGGGTTGCCAGCTTGCCTTTGTTCATGCTGGTTGCCCATGCCCCAAAGCCCAGCAACGCTGCAGCTTCTGCATTTATACCAAACACTGCCCTGCAGCTCCGTAGAAATATCCCCATTCCTGGGGAGGGACACAAAATTCTGGGCATTTCACAGAGTCTTATGACAGGGAGTGGGTTATTGAGGTAGCAACTGCAGGCAATAGAATCCTGGCACAGACGTTTCCCACACAGAGGTTGTGGAAGGTTGGGTCTGGGACACATCCTTTGCCACTCAGATTTTTTCCAGGCGGCCGCCCTCTCAGGGCCACAGGCCCCTGAACAAAAGCACGGGCACTTTTCCCTGGGAAAAAAACTTGCCACCCCCACTTCCTGATGTCAGTTTGCAGGGTGCGCTTGGGACTGTCAGGGTAGCACAAGTGTGAGGTGGGAGCAGCTTGGGTCTGTGACACATCCTTCGCCATTCGGATTTTTTGCAGGTGGCTGCCCCTTCAGGGACACAAACAGCAGCCATTTTCCCAGGGAGAGAAAGCAAGGCAATGTGTGTATTCTATTTGCCACCTGTTAGAGGTGTGGCAGTTATCTTCTGTTAATTGGGCAGTTTATCTCTTCCCCAAAGCAATCCTCCCTCTGGGGATACATCTGCTCTCAATGGGCAATTGAGTGTCCCTGCAAGGCTGATAAAATTACATCATCCCACTGAGAGATGCTCCGCCCAGGGGGAGAAGCCAAGCATTCCTAAATGGATGTAATCAGAGATTTTGGGACACCAGGACAGCCTTTTTCCCACTGGATTCCCAGAGGAAGACCAGGCCCATCTACACGACTACTGGGCCTTCAGAAGAAAACTCCACCCTTCTACAGGATCCCTGCTCCAGCAGAAGCACAGCTGGCACTGCAGGAGCACTGCAGCCACCATTTTATGGGGCTGCTGCCACCACCCTGACCCGCAGGGTGTCAGGTCATATTCTGACTCTCTCAGATGTTTATTTTTGTTGAATTACATTTGTATGTTTTAGTTTTCTGAGTAAAGAACTGTTTCTCCTATTCCCATATCTTTGCCTGAAAGACTTTTAATTTCAAAATTGTAATCATTTGGAGGGAGGGGGTTTACATTTTTAATTTCAGGGGAGGCTTCTGCCTTCTTTAGCAGGCACCTGACTATTCAAACCAAGACACTGCTCCAAGCAGTTACTGGAAGATTTTGCTGTGCTTTCCCATTATGTTTTATTTAACCCAAATTAAATAAGTACTATTTTGCAAATGTTGAAACATCTATATTTCAAGTTCACAAGATACTACAGAGATTGGATAGGTGATATTCACACTCTAAACGTGATATTGACCGCGGAATATCAATAAATAGGAAATATCAGGACAAAAGTTTATCCAATACACCCCAAGGGATCACACTGTGCTGTGCAAGGCTTCCATGATTTAAGAGTCCAGTAGATGTTGCAAAATCTAAATAACCTTGTCATTAACAGCAAAGGAGCAGAGCAATTTCCAAGGCTGCATAAGAAAAGGATGTGTGTAGATCCAGCTCTGAAACAAAGCCCAGCTACAAGGTACATTTGTTTTCTAGGTTTGCAGAAAGCCTTTTTCTCCTGCCCAGACCATCCTATCCAGGATGACTGCAACAAAACCAAAACACAGACTCGACAATGCAAATCAGCCAAACCTGCCAGGAAGATCAATGCATTCAGCTGCTTCTACAAAACAGCAGTTGACACTTTTCTACTTTAAAAACAAACAGTATATTTATATGCAATAATTTTTAAAAAGTGGTTATATCCAATAATTTAAAAAAAGCTGCATAGGTCATACTATGATCCCTCTTTATTTGTCTTGATCCTGTCCCTTGGAGAATACATCTGGAGCAGGAGTCCAGGTATGAGACAAACAGAGACAGGGTGTGCGCGGTGAAGAAGGGGCTGATGTACTGGTCTTCAATGGGATAGGATCCATTTTCATTCCCGGGAGCAGCAAAGACCTGCGTTTGGATTCAGGATGGGAATGTGGTAGATAGCACACGGATACCTTGGATGTTGCTGCGTGAGACTTGCCCTCCTCAAGGACTCTGCAGTGTCCCATTGGACGACCCATGTCCCATGCTCTGCCAGCAAGGAGGTGAGACCCTCAACATTCCCCTCCTCATCCCTGTGTGCTACTTAAAGAAGAAACTTCCGCCCACTCTGCTCCAAAAGAGATGGCAAGTGCCCATAGGGAGCCCCCTTACTCCTCCTGGGGCACTGCGGAGGGCGGGGCCGAGGCAGGGCTGTGATGGCACAAAGGGGCAGAGTGCTGGCGTCAGGCAGGGCTGTGATGTCCCAGGGCTGTGCTGGCCGCAGCACTGTGACATCACTGTGACATCAGCGCGCTGTCGCTGTGTGAGACGGGCCAGCACCCACAGCTGCCAGTGCAGTCACGATGGGACCTGCCGGAGCCATGGGTGACGGTGACGTCCTGGTGACTGCGCTTCTCCTGCTGCTGGCCGCCGTGGCTGTCTGGTGGGCCTTTGGCCACCGGCAACAAGGGAGCCGGCAGACACGGACAGCGATGTGGAGCAAGCGCCCCAGGGTCCGGCCCAGAGGCTCACGGAGGAAGCGAGGAGCCCCTGTGGCTCCCAGGTTCCCCAGGCCTCGGGCTGCTCCTGGCGAGCAGCCACATGCTCCCGCCAGCCCCCTGGGCAGCCCCTGCAGCTGCGGCCCCTGCCTGGCAGTGGCCCGGGAGCTGCAGGAACTGATGCTGCAGCTCTGGGTTGGCAACGGGACACGTGCGCCCCTCTACTCTGGGATGTGGCAGGCCTTGTGGAAAGAACTGCAGGAGCTGCTGGAGCGAGGCCACCTGCCCTGCTGTGGCTTAGCCAGCTCCTCCAGAAGCCTCCATCCCTTCCAGAGGCTGCTCCCAGCAAGATTCTCCAGCCCTGGGAGAGCCTCAAGGCCTGCAAGGATGGCACAGCAGGGTGGAGACACCAGCATTCATGCAGGAACTTCAGGCTGTCAGAGGCCCTGCACCCTGCCAGCAGCCTCTGCTATCTCTGACAGCCGCCATCCCTCACAGAGGCTCAGTGAGACCTGTCAGCCTGCGGAAGGAGCAGAACCCGTGGACAGGTCTCCCAGCTCCCTTGGACTCGTGGACTACAACAACACGGGCGCAATCCTGACCCTTTACGTGTCAGGCGAAAGCCCACAAGTCCAAATGGGAGCCCAGCCCGATGCAGGGGAGCCTGCTCAGGAGCAGCTGACGGGACAGCAAGTGTCCTGGAGCCAGAAGTGGTCATTCCACAAAGGCCAGGACAGCCAGGACGCTGTGCCGGTTGTGCCCACCAGCAACAGCCCGAGCCTGGTGGTGGAGACGAGCCTCCAGGTGCTATGGAGGTTCCTCCATCTGCAGGAAGCTGCCCCAAGACAGTCCTCGAGTGCCGCAAAGGGCTTTCTAGAAGCAGGTAAGATCTCCTGAGGAGCTGCCTGAGGCTCTGCCGGGGCTCTGGAGGGGCGCGGCCAGGCCAGGCCAGGGCCCCTGACAGCAGCCTAGTCGCTGGCTGTTTCCAGTGCCTTCGATGGCCCGGCTCGAAAACGCCCTGTCTGCTTTGCAGCTGCTCCTGGGATCCCCCTGTGCCCAGCCTCGGGCTGCAGCCCCGGCCGTCGGCAGGAGCAGAGCCCAGCCCACGACGCCGGGGACAGCGCCGGTGCCGCCCTGCCCCGCTGCCCCGGGGCTGCCGCAGCCGCCTGTGCGCGCTGCCCCGGCCCGGCTCTGCCGCTCGCCAGCCCGGCGGCTGCAGGGCGGCGGCCGCTGCCCGGCGCGCAGCAGGAAGCGGGTGAGAGCGCGGCGGCCCGCGGGGCCCGGCCCGCTCCACTCGCGGGCACTTGCGGGAGGGGCGGGTCCTGGGCGCAAGGCTGATGGCTCGCTCTTGGCCGCAGGGCAAAGGGAGCAGCGGCAGGAGCTGTACCTGTGGGGCCCGCAGCTGGGCAGCGGCGGCTTCAGCACCGTCTTCTCGGGCATCCGCCTCTCGGACGGCAGCCCGGTGAGTGGCCGCGACGGCCGGGCGTGGGCGGAGGGGCAGCGGCGGGGAGGGGCAGGGCTGGAGCTCAGCCCTCCTCTCCCCATGGCTCGCAGGTGGCCCTCAAACGCGTGGCCCGGGAGAGCGTCCTGCAGTGGGACGAGCTGGTGAGCGAGCGGGGCCAGCGGGACAGAGCGGGGCGTGGCGGGCAGGGAGAATCCCGGGGCGGGCTCAGCGAGCGGAGCCGCGGCCCCGCGGGCCTGGGCACGCCGAACAGCGGTGCTGGGGCCGGGCAGGGGCAGCCCCGAGCATCCCCCGGGCGGGAGGAAGCGCAAGCGCCAGGGAGGCTGCGCCAGGGGGCACTGGGGCATCCCGGGCAGGGCGCAGCGCAGCCCCAGGGCAGCAGCAGCAGCAGCAGCAGCAGCAGCAGCAGCAGCAGCAGCAGCAGCAGCAGCCTGCCAGAGGCACTGATTTTCTCCTCCTCACAGCCCGACGGCACCCGCGTGCCCATGGAGGTGGCGCTCATGGAGAAGGTGGGCTCTGGCTGCCACAACATCATCCAGCTCCTCGACTGGTTTGAGCTGCCCGACAGCTTCATGCTGGTCCTGGAGCGTCCGCAGGCATCGCAGAATCTCCTGCAGTTGCTGCAGGAGCAGGGGTGCCTGTGCGAGGAGCAGGCGCGCTGGCTTTTCTGCCAGGTGCTGGAGGCCGTGCGGCACTGCACCGCCTGCGGCGTCCTGCACCGGGACATCAAGCCAGAGAACCTCCTCGTGGACCCGGAGAGCGGCGACCTGAAGCTCATCGACTTCGGTTGTGGCACCTTCCTCCAGGAGCGGGCCTTCTCGGGCTTTGCCGGTGAGCCCATGGCCTGGGCCCTGCTCCCGGTGCCAGGCACTGCACGGCCCCGTTCCCTCCCGGGCCGCGGCCTTCAGCCGGCTGCCCTTTGGCCCGGGGCGGATGCCGTGCCCCAGGAGCCGGCTGCCGGCCCTGCCGACAGAGGGGGTGGCAAAAGCGGCTCCTGGCCCTGGGGCTCAGCGGGCCCACAAGGGCCTGGGCTGCTCCGCTGGCCTTCTTGGCCTCGCGGAATGGTTCCTTGCTTTTGGGCAGCTGGCTGGGGGAAGCGGGGTGGCCTCGGGGAGAAGCTGTGGCCACGGGTGCAGCCCCTGCCTCGGCCAGGGGGCTGGTGCCAGGCTCTGGAAGGCAGCAGCCTGCGCCCGGCCAGCGCCGCCTGTCTCCCCTAGGAACGCACGCGTACAGCCCGCCCGAGTGGATCTGGCTGGGTTACTACCACGGCCACGCGGCCACCATCTGGTCCCTGGGCGTGCTGCTTTACGTCATGGTCTGCGGCAGCCTCCCCTTCCAGGATGACCCTGACATTGTGCTGGGGAAGGTCTTCTTCCAGCGGCAGGTCTCTCCAGGTGGGTGTCCGGCCTCAAGCCGGCGGGCTTTGGCAGCTGGCGGCGCACGCCCGGCGCGGCCCTCACGCAGCTCCGCGGGACGTGGATCTGCCCTCACGGGCGGCCGGAGGAGGCGGCCGCGTCCCGCCGTGCCGCTCTCCCGCGCGGGGCAGAGCTGGTCGGGAGCCCGGCGCGGCCCAGAGCGCTCACGGCGCGGCCCGGGCCAGCTGGCGATGGGGGCTGCTGGGCAGGAGACTTCTGGCGGTGACCGGCGCTTTCTGGCTTCTCTCCCCAGAGCTCCAGCACCTGATCCGATGGTGTTTGGCCAAGCACCCTGCGGACAGGCCGGAGCTGGAGGAGATCTCGCGCCACCCTTGGGTGCAGGGCCGGCGTTTTTGATGCCTTGCCGGAGCCTCTGCAGCACCCACTAACCGAGTCCCACGCAGGACTGAGGACCCGAGAAATAAAACAACAAACCCATTTTGGTGTGTCAAGGCTGGTCCTTGTCAGCAACTTCAGCTAAAGAGGGATATTGGTTGGGAAAATTGGGGCACAGGAGCCCTTGTGGGGCCTGAAACCGCTCATGGTGGTGGGGGAGAGCCCAGCACACTCCTCCTACATATCCCTATCCCTTACACAGGGGAAGCCCTGGCTAAAATCCAGGAAAAACAGTGCTGTGGATCCAAGGATCAGAACCAGGATCTGAGCGTACCTCATGGGAGGCACATGAATGGAACCGAGCGAGGCTGGGGCAGGAGGGACAGACCGAGCAGAGAAGGGGGACCCTCCCTCTGTCCATGCCAAGGCCCAGGGCAGCCCTGTCCCGGGAAGTGCACAGGGAGTGGATCCTTGAGCTGCTGCACCTTCGCACTGCCCTCGCTCAGCCCGGAAGCCCCTCATTGCCTGGGGCAGCTGGTGGCACTGGGGAGTGGGAGAGGGAAAGAAGCAGAACACAAGGATCTGTCCTACACCCTCACATGGACTGTGATGCCAGCTTCATGGGCTGCACCAAATGGCTGCCCTGTTGGGACCACCACCAGAAACCTCCAGCAACATCCTAATTTACTGCTCCAGAAAAATGAAAATCCCAAAAATTAACTCCAAGGCGGATCTTTGAATATTTCCTTGGCATCTAGAGAATTATTATCTGAGTCCAGTAATGAATTTCCTCCAGATCTCCTCCCCCGGGACCAGTTAAACACGACATGGGGTTAAAGCCTTCTCTGCTTCTTAATTCTAAATCTCCCATTCCAGGAGAGCCTCTTTTGCTTAACAAAGACTTAATTTGACACGAAGCTTTAAGGATAAGAGATTCTTTTGCAGTCTTCAGTTACAATTAAAACTTTGGCTTTTTTTTTTTTTTTTTTTGTAATTATATTACAATTAAAGCTGTGGCCACACAATTTTGCAAACAATGGGGCCACCCCTCGCCGAGGGGTTTAACATTTTACAAAGATGGGCTATCGGTCTTCAAGTACAGCCCTGTGGTGTTCTTGCACTAGAACTCCTTTGGCATGCCCCTGTTCAACATCCACATAAAATTCCAATTCTTTTTCTCTGTCTGGAAGGGCTAGGGCAGAAGGCTCAGTTCATCTGCTTTTTAACACTTTAAAATTCTTTCAAATTCTGCCAGGCTCTTACCTGGCAGGGATAGCAGTGTTCTAGGGAGACATCCGTGGCTCCAGAAGACCTGCCTTTAACAGGAGCTCAGTAACAGGCTGGAACCCCTTTCCTTCTCTCCCTTGAAACAGGGTGTTGCTTTCTAGACAGCACCTGTCCTGGTGGCTTCACTTGATTTGGAGAGGTTCCGTATCTAATTTTCCACATTTCTGTGGGACTGCCCACACTTCCGGGTTTACTTCAGCCTTGGCCTTCTCAGACATTTGACACAAAGTGACAAGGGCAGCAGCTTCCTTACCAGCTTTCACAGTCATCATTGACATTCCCATTTTAGCCATCAAATCCCTTCCCAGTAAATTGTAATCATAAGTAGGAAGAAACAGAAATTGAGAAAGCCAAGGATCCCCCAGACAGGAAAGCTGGACTGGACCAATGCAGATGGAACCAATATGATTAATCAAACGTTTTCTGTTTATTAGTTAGAAGATGGCAGTTTATACACTTCAGTATAGTTTACGGTTTACAAAGGCATTCTCATTGGTAAGCTAACATTGTTTGTCTTTGTCTTAAGGTGAACTAAACTTCACACTTTAAACTATACTACTTCACACCCAGGAAGCCCAGTGTTTCACATCACACCTTAATACAATTTCTAACTGCGCCACAAGCTCTTAATTTCTAACTGCGTCAAAGGCTTGAAGGCCTCACAAGGCCCAGATCTGAGGCCTAGACTGGAGTAGCTCAAATCTCATTCCAGACATAAATCATGCCCTCTCTCTCTCAGAATGCTACAATTCCCTCTTTTTCTTTTTGAGTTACGCGGGCTGACATGAAGGCGCGGTGCACTATCTTCTGCATATACTGTAATAAACACAGTATAATAACTAAAATAATTATAAAGATAAGAAAAATCACAATGCCAAAACTAATTAAATCTTTGATCCAGCCAGCAAAACCTAGAGAATTGAGCCCGTTGTTTATCAAATGGAGTGTCTACCACTACAAGTTTCGTCATGTTGTCCTTCAATTGCGTTACCTGTTTGTAAATTGATTGGGAATTGTCAGACAAAGTCATGCAACACATGCCTTCAAATTCCTCACACCCATGTTCTTGTGCTAGAAGAAGGAAATCAATGGCAGCTCTGTTTTGCAGATCCACATGATGGGTACTATCTACATCTGCAGCAAGCTGACTTATCAGTTTAGATGTGATATTAATTTGCTTTCCTGTCCAACAGGCTAGGGTTCTCAATTGTGTGAGAGCTTGCGCTGAAGCAACTCCTGGGGAGAAAATTGAGCCTAGTACTATAGAGGTGCGCCTCCATAATGACACTTGATCTTTACAATTGGGATCTAGTTGGAGAACACTGCATTTGGCTCATTGAGTCTTCTGAGGCAATCCGAGAACTTGATGAATGGTGGGAGCAAAAAGCATTAATTTACCATTGTAACATGGACCTCCCCTACCATTTTGAGGTACTGCAAACCAGGCTCAGTCCCCACAAATGAGGAAGGTTCCTGGGGGCAGTTTTCCTCCACCGCCTCTTGATGGTGTCACAGATTGAGTCCAATTGTTACAATATTCTGAGTAATTATAATACAATGGTGATCTGGGAGACAACCAAGTGTTGTCATCTGTTAACTGTCTTTTTTCTTGAGTTGGTTTTATAGCATAAGGTCCAAATATCAAGCAGTAATTTCCTGGGACAGAACCCAAAAGATCAAATTCTTGAAGACTGACAGCAATAAATTTAAGATTTTGCACAAAGGCAACAGCTTGCGCTCCCAGTGTGCTTTTTGGACTTATTTGAGCTCGGGTCCAAGTTTTAAAGTCTGCCATGGAACCCAATGGAACTCCAATTAAACAAGTACGAAAAGGATTAGATGGTGTAGCTAACGACAGGCAGAATTAATCTTGCCTAGTTTGTTTGGCCCAAGTGATCCACATGTTTTCTCTCTTGTCAATGTCAAGGATTCCAGATACTTCAATTACTAAAACATTACTTAATAGAAACATTGTTACCCACCACATATTTCTCATGTTCTTGAATGCCTTGTTTAACATAAAAGGAACAAACTTAATTCTAAACATAAACTATAACTTATACTAAACTAACTTCTGATAAATCTAATTTCACTCTTATTTCTCTGTACTCTACAAAGTTAATTTTCATCAGAACTGGATTTATCACGGGATGTTCCAGGCAAACTGTCATCATCAACGTTATTATCACCGTGGGTTGGTATCTTTGCCTTTGGACGCACACGGGTAAATCTGCTCAGCACCCAAACTGGACCAGTACCTGTTGAAACACACATATAACCTCTACCATTAAACAACACTGGACTTGGCCCTTGCCATTCACCCATCCGCATGTCCTTGTGATAAACGTAAAGTCCTGGAATCGCTTGCGGTCTTCCTTATTTCACTGCTTGGTGGTGTAATACAACTGCAGGTTGTATTCTCTCTGCTAAAGACAAATAGCTTAGAGTAAACAATACTTTTGACAATCAATTAAACATATTGGTTTCATCACTTTGCTTTTGTTTTGCTAGGTATTCTTTCAGGGTATGGTTGGCCCTCTCTACAATGGCTTGACCTGTAGATGAGTGTGGGATCCCCCCACCTCTGCATAAATGTAGAAATTTTTTGACTAACATAAGATGGAGGATTATCAGTTTTGATTTCTACAGGTACACCCATTACTGCAAAGCCGGCAAATAAATGCCTTTTCACATGCAGAGCCTTTCCCCCTGTTTGTGCTGTGGCCCAAATAAATCTAGAATAAGTGTCTATAGTGACATGGACATATTTCAGCCTACCAAACTCGGGAATACAAGTTACTTCCATCTGCCACAACTCTAAAGCTTTCAGACCCCTTGGATTTGTGCCAAGTCCAAGGCCAGGCCCATAATGACTACATTGAGGGCATGCTCCAACAATCCCTTGTGCATCATTCATGGGGATCTGAAATTGTCAGTGCGTGGCTCTCGCATTTTGGTGGAATGTCTCGTGACTGTTGAGAGGTCTCTCAAGGCTATTCTGTGAGGGAACATGGACAGCCACAGAAGTGACTGAAGTCAACCCACTACACTAAAATATTAGGAATTTCGGGAAAACCAATCCCTATTTATGCAGTCAATGAAACTGCCTGCATTTCAACCATGTCAACAATGCCTGAGAAAGAACTACACTTGTTTATCTTCAGAAACATGAGGAGACCAGAGAAATATCAGAAAAGTGTTTCTACCTCCCACACATCACCCTAGCAATGGCTTTTAATTACAACATTTATGAATTATTTATCTTAAACTACTTGGATACATATAGAAATACATAACACACATAAATGTACTACAGAGCTGTGTTTTGTAAACAGAAGTTTGCCCTCAAAAGCTATTTATTCCTCTAAATATCTTCCCTCAGGAAGCTATTCCACTCACACTTTTTTCTTTTTGTGCGGGAAGGGAAGCTTGAATGTCTGGCTGTCAGACATTCAAGCTCTCTCTCAGCCTGCCAAGACACTTTCCTATCCACTCAGGGTTTGGGGGAAGTCTGCTACCTGCTGCACAGATTTTTCATGTTTGCAGCCCATATTTTCTACCACACCATTTTAAATTATTTGTATTATTAGTTTTATTATTTTTCATTGTTATTGTATTAGTTTTGTATTTATTGTCATTAATTTTTATATTATTATTAATTTTCTGTGTTGATTTATTTTTAATTTTTATTATTTTTATTATCTTTTTTTGTTTAATTATTATTAACCTATTGTATTTTTTCTCATTCTTATAATTTTAAAGCAGGAATTATTTTTTTATAATTATTAGCTGTTCTCTCCAATATATTACTTCAG